CATTGTGTACTTTAAGTTCAGTTACGTAATTGCTATCTACCCATATCTGTATGAAAAATAATTTTTATTTTTTCATTAACCATAAAAATTCCTTTACCAGGGTACAGCAGAATATAATTTACATTGCTGGAATTCTTACATTGGTCTGTTTGAATATAAACATCATACATTTTTAATAGACACTTTGAAGATTTTGAATGTGATGTTTACTCGGAAATAAATATCACTTTTGGCCAATCTTGACATTTATATTCAAAATATTCTCTTACAAAGATAAAATTAAGTATCCTTGCTGAGTCTGCAGGGTATTATTTATTACTAAAGGTGAGCTGTTCTGGTTTCCCATTTCATCTGGTGAGGTGGCGGGTGGGAGGAGAAAGGACAGACCAGCTTTAACATGATTGTGAAATATTTTTTTGTACTGAAAATTTGTTTGGTTCATAATTCTAACAGAGATACCCGACAGAATATAATTTACATTGCTGAAATTCCTTGGTGAAGTGATCATTTGAATATGAACATCAGAGATTTTTCACGTTAGACACACAAATTTTTCAGATGTGTTTACTCAGGAAGTAAATATGTTATCTTTTAGTACTAGAAATATATGACATTTATATTCAAATGTTCCTCAATCTTCCCTGAGGAATCAGCAATGATGTATTAATCTCTTTAGTCTGAGGTATTATTTGTTACTAAAGTTAAAATTAGTTTGCTGCACTAACAATTTCTCTGGTAGGGAGGGAAGGTGGGGAGGATGGAGGTGGGTTGACCGACCATCTGGCCCAGCAGAGTTGGAAAGAATTAGGAAGCAAGTTGAGAATTGCCATTGACAGATAGTGTCATTGAAGAATTGACTACTTGAGCAGAAGATGTTTGTTTTAGCTCATGAGACTAACTAAAATACTGGACCAGAATATAATTGCCATTGCTGGAATTCTTACAATACTATGATCATTTGAATATAAACATCATGGATTTTGCATGAACATACAGGATTTTAGATCTAATGTAATAATTTGGTTTACACAAAGCAATGTTTTATCTTTATTTTAAATATGTAGTTTACATTCAGTATTCCCTATTTTGCAATCCAGAAATGCTCAGAATTATATTGATCTAACTTTAAGCACCAAGTGTTGTTACAGTACTAAGTTCAAAATCAGTGTTTCACCCAATCATTTCTCAGAGGTAGGGACCAGTGAATGGGGAAGGGATTTGGGTCTATTATTTGAATGGACATTAACCTGGCGACTGTGTTTCTCTTGCAAATAACAATTGTGAGCATGCCATCATAAAAAGAATTAGATGTTATTTTTGCTACAACATGGGTATTGTCAGAAATGTGGGTTTGAAGTCGGGCCAGT